CCTACCCAGCATGCCACTGCCTCCAGGGCTGCTGTAATTTGAATGTGATTATGACACATAAGGTCCTAGAAGTCCCCTTCCCAGCTCCTCACCCCTTCCTTGCCATTTCCTGGGAGATGCTGTCAATGGAGACCCTGTGGAGTTGAAGATTTAAATCATCCTTGCTTGTTGGTTACAGCTGACCTGATAAAGCACTTACTGGAAAACTCTAACAACTTCATTTTTAAAACACATGATTAAAATCATTTCCCTTAATATGCCAGCAAACCTGCACACAGCTATTCTATAGTCTAGGCAGGCTCCATTTTAATCTATTCCAGGGCCACCTTGAATGAGAATGCCCACATCAGTTAGGTTTCTCATGTTTCTCCAAAGGCAACAAGTCAAAACTATAATTCTGGTCCCGAGGACAGATTAGAAAAGGGCACGATGAAGGTGCCCGATCTGTCGATTTGGCTTTGCAAAACAGGGACTTTTTTTTATTGACTCTGCCAATTCCAAGTCTAGTTAATTTGTTTGCATTTTGAACACCACATTGAAAAGCCTGTGTGACAAGTGAGCGATCCCTGTTACATTTAGCTCATTATGCACCCACGGAGTGGTCCTAATACCCTGGCCAGGGCAGAGCACACTCCTGAATGAAAGGCACCTCATTTTGTTTCTAGCTGACAGAGGTCCTGTTTGTCTGCAAGTGTAGCTTACATTCAGCCTACGCAGATAGACTTTCTGCTGCCAACAGCCCCGTGACAGGTTGTGACCGCCAGAAAAGGTTTAAAGACTGAGCACTGGGGCGCCTGCACACCAGGGCCTGGATCTCTAATACTTACAGCCTCAGTTTCTTGAGCATCTACACAAACCAGTTCCTGCCCCAGGTCTTTGCACATATCATCTCTCGTCCTCAAAGGCCCCCTGCCTGGAAGCGTAGGCATTATTATCCCCCTTTGGCTAATAAGAAAACAGAGGCTAGGAGAAGCTAAGTTCCTTCCTCAGGGTCACACATGGCAGTAACCAATAGTCAGGATTCAATCTCAGGCCTGCTCATCCCAATGCCTTGTTCTTTCCCACCACGCGGCTGAGAGGAGAGCCCTCTACCCCTTTTGGTATCTGTAAGGCTGGTCTTAGTACCTGAAGAGAGGGGCTATTTCTCCCTCCTTGGGAAGGGCAAGCCTGGAGCCTGCACTGCGTGGGTGTGCTCCCCCACGGCAGATGCAGAAAATGGAGCCAAAACTTGTCTCGGGATTGTGGGAGGGGCCGTGACTCAGCCTCCCGGGGAAGAATGACCTGCTGGAGGATGATGGCTGTGCTGTGAGAGAAGGCAGTGGACTGATGGTCCTAATGGAGAGAGGGTACAAAGTGCTGGGCAGAAACAAAAGTGTAACTGCGCCTGAACGCTCCTCCAGGGAGCAGCTCGGGCAGATACTCGGCTAATCCAATTTCTAGCGGGCTTTGCAGCGCGTCTTTCAGCCCCCATGGTTTTCCAACAGGCCTCCAGCTTCCCCAGGAGCCCAGATTTCTGAGCAAGCAAGAGACAGAGAATTGACCCCCATTTCCACCCCTACCTCACCTACATTGGTGTGTGTGTTATATGTATATATATAAATACGCATCTTTCCTACCCCGGAAGCAGTTTAGCTCCAGCACTCCCTCCCTTCCCCTGCGCCTGCGCACTTCCCCACCCCACCCCACCCCCAGCCCCTCCCGCCCTTCCCTTCTACTCCGCTGGCACAGCAGGGGCTAAGAGCGCCAGTTCTGGAGTTGCAGCGCGAGGTTCTCGATGGATTCTGTCATCCACAGGTTGTACGACCTTGGGTGTGTTACTTAAGCTCCCTGTGCTTCAGTTTCCTCTTCTGTTAATAGGGATGATAACAGATAACAGCATCTACCTGTTTTGGGTTGAATTGTGTTCCCCACCCCCAAGTTCATATGTTGAAGCCCTAACCTCTGGTACCTCAGAATGTGTCTGTTAGGAGACAGACCTTTAGACAGGTGATTCAGTTAAAATGAGGCTGTTAGGGTGGGCCCTGATCCAACCTGACTGATGTCCTTCTAAGAAGAGGAAGAGAAGCCAAGGGCATGGGCTCAGAGGAAAGACCCTGTGAAGACACAGCGCGAAGGTGGCCATCTCCAAGCCAAGGAGAGAGGCCTCAGAAGAAGTTAACCCTGCCTGTACCTTGGTCTTAGACATCTTACACCTCCAGCCTTCAGAACTGTGAGAATACGTTTCTGTTGTTTAAACCACCCAGTCTGTGGTATTTTGTCGTGGAAGCCCTGGGAAACCAGCACACCACCTCCTAGAATTGTTGTGGACATTCAGTTGGATGAAGCATCTAAATTGCTGTGTGAAGTTCCTGCTTCTGGGTGTTTTCCGTTAGTACGGCTGCTTCTGAACATGCAGTCGCTTGCTTTCTTTCCCCCTCACCTGGTGAGTCCTTTGATGTCTGAGCTCTCTCTCCTAGGCCTTGTGAAGGGTTGAATTCCTGTAAGAGTTAAGGAAGATCTTTGAGGGCCCAGGTTGTTGATTTCTTGCCTCCACCTCCAAGCAACCCAAGTAGCTAGTCTGTAAGAGATGCTCAAAAAACACCTGTAGATACAATACTCTTTGGACAAAATTTAGGGACTAGAGCAGGGAATAAGGCAGGCACAGTCTGCCCTCAGGGAGTTTATGGGTTGGGAAGAGACATAGATCCCGTAATGTCATTTGCTTCGAGTGGTTTCCTTTAGCTTTCGATCAAAAAGCAAGTGAGCTCTGAATGGAGCTGCTGTCCAGATGAGTCCTGGTGATCCCAGTGTGAAAGAAGACACCAGCTGGCACACACGGTGTGCTTACTCTGTGCCACGCATCCTGCTAAGCAGTCTTCCATGTGAACTTACATAATGTCCACAACAGCCCCAAGCGATTGGATCTGTTATTATGTTAACTTCACAGAAGAAAAAACTGAGGCACAGGGAAATAACTTTCCTAGGATCGCACGACTTAAGAGTTAAAACTGGAATTCAGACTCAGGCAATCTAGCATAAGAGCCCAAATTGTAAGGAAGAGTGTGCTGATGAAACCCTGGTCCAAGACAGTTCTCTCAGGCTTGTGCCTTTCTGTGTCCATGGCTGGGCATGCAGCCACTGTGACACGGGGTGGTGGCCTTCTCTCTGTGCTGTGGAAGGGGACATGGACAGGGGAGGCAGCATCCATGACAGATCCCCACCCTTTCCCTCCAGCCTTCAGGGGCATTGTCCCACACACCCTGGATAGGGCCAAGGACAGACCCCAACTAAGAAGTGTATCCACAGGAGGGAGTCATCTCAATGACTTCTCTGGCCATGGCTCTCACTTTGTGGATGTAGACAGTAGGCCCAGAAGGGACTTTTTTTCCATATTTACTGTGTATTAATGAGATTCCCGGCATAGTGTTGAGTGTTTTCCATCTGTAAGAGGCTTCTGTCAAGGTCTAGAAGATGGATCTCAGATCCAAAGGGTTCCGGACCAAGCACACGCTGCAGGGAAGGAGTGAAGAACCAGCAAGGGCCACTCAAAACTGGTCCCACAGAGAAAAAGCTCGTTGGCTGGGGAGAATTTATGAAAGATTTTGGAGAGAGCTGTTAGTGTACTGTGAGTCCCAGCCCACTCACACGGGGCTGAATGCCTGCCTCTCACCTCACCCTCAGGGAGAGGGGATGTGGGGGTGTCCCTTGGAGAGCCTGACATGTGTCCCCTGATGCTTGGGGACCTGCCTCCAGCCTGGAAATCAAAAACGTGAGCAGTGGGCTGGCCAGGGGCTCTGGCTGCAGAGTGAGGGCAGAGCAGCCGCTGTCTTGTAATTCAAGAGGCAGATCAGGCCCAAGTGCTCCCCGGAGGCCAGCTGTGGGCATGTGAGAGAAAGAGACCGGCATGGGGTCATCAGAGGAGCTGTCCAAGAGACTGTCCTCGAGGAGCAAACAGACCACTGCAGAGAGAAGCTGGGGCAGTGCCCAGAGGGAGCAAGCTCCCAGGAGGAAAGCTGGTTGGGAGAGCTAGGGGGTGGGGTGAGGACTCCCCAGAGACAGGGTATCCAGTGAACCCAGGAGGACCCACCGGAGTCCTCCCAGGCCCCGGGAGCCCAAGCCTATCCCAGAAGGCGTGTGCCTCAGGGGTAACCCCCTTGCTCCCTTCCCACTCCTTCTTCCCTGCTCTTCTTGGTCCTGGAGGAGTCAGAAACCCCAGGTGGCAAGAGGAGCAGAAGCAGTAGAAAGAGCAAAGCTGGAAAGAGGGACCAATCCCATCCTCCTCCCTTTGGGGAGCCTCCTGTCTGCAGGCACCCCCACTGCCCACCTGACAAAACTCGAACTGGGGGAGGGGGGATCCTTTGCATCACAAAAGGCTTTTTCATTTAACCCAAAGCATTCACCTTTGAAGAAACCTCAGCTTTCCTTGAAGACAGACCTTCACTGGTGCATTTTAATCATTTGGATTATTAATATTTTGTATATCTCTATCTTATCACCACACCTGAAAAAATGAGCTTTTGCGAACAGTTACTCCCCCTCACTCTCCTTCGGTCCCCTCCCCGGGACCCAATCACCAGAGACAAAGATTCAATGACTAACACACACTTTTCATGGACACACCGATTGTATAAAGTGAGGCGCAGTCATAAGCAAGATCAACCCACTCCGTTTTCAGATTGCTCCAGCTGAACAAATATACAAACCGTCCCTCAGCCTTTTCTCTCCCTGCATTTTCAAGCAGTAGGTGGTACTAATAAAAACACCGCCTCGTGTTTGTATAGCACTTGGCAGTTTCAAAGCCACTCTCATAACCCAAAGTCACTCTCCACCCCCACACTCATCCCAACCATTCTCATTCCATTTCCACCCACCTTGCTGCCTTTCCTGCTGTCCAGCCCCGTGCCGGCCTCTGCCGAGGTGAGGCCACGTGCCCCCCACCCCGGTGAGTCCGTGTGTGTCGTGTGAAACGTTTCCTCATAAAGAGTCAGCCGGCCAGAAACGTGGGCAGAAAGCAAAGGGCAGCGTGTCCAGGTTCTGTTTATTATGTTCTCACAGCCTTGTTTGGAGTAAAGGTGAATGACATGATTCCACTTTGCACAGTAATGAAACAACTCAATGAGGACTCCATCAGCCAAGCAGTTTATATGGCAGATGAGCTGCTACAAATCTGTTGTGCACGCCACAGGACTCAGCTAACGCCGCCGTGGTTTGAGTGCACGCTGAGCCAGCCACCTTTTCCATACCTGGCAGAGGGAGGGAGCAGAAGGGTCAAAGGGAGTAAAAATCAGAAAGGGAACAGTTTATTGAGAGGACCCGGGCCCCAAACGTGGGAAGGCCAATGGCTCCAGGCTGCAGTCTCCCATCTTGGTCCACAGCATCTTGTGGAGTCTTGAGAGGCCACAGGGACAGGAAGACATCTCTGCTCTTGGGTTCTTCCTCCACAATCTCGTGCCAAGTGGCACAGGCTCTCAATGCCACTCTCTTGCTTCTAACCCGGAGGGATGCAGATTTAAAGGGGGCTGACACTTGGCCGGTTGAAGGACAGCCTTGGATGGAAAATCATAATTCCTCTGCCTTGCTTGGAAGTGGGCATAGACAGGGTAGGGAGAGTTCTGGGCACTCTTGTTGACGGGAGACCATCCTGTCTGTGAACGTGCCGCTTACCACCTCTCCTTTCTGGCTCATGGAGAACCCGACACCACCTTAGCTACTTGTCTTCCTGCCCTGCTCCTTTCTCTTCGGTCTTTCCCATTCCCACCCTCCCCTGTTTCTCAGCACAGTGGGTTCATGCCTTTCCCTCACAGTCCAGGGCCAGGAGTACCCAGCCACCCCAGCCCTGCCGAGGAGAAGCGCCCAGGGCGCGCCCCCAGACGCTGGGCCTGCAGCCCGGGCAGAACACCGTTTCACAGTTTTGGTTGATTCAGAGCAGCAAGTTCTGGAGAGAGCACCAGAGAGTAAAATCAACTAGGAACTTTCCAGCTGTCCGTCCAGCTGAGACCAAAGAGGGAATGATGAGAACCTAGAGCAGGAACCGAAACCCCGCTGTGGCCTTGGAAAAGAAAGCCTCAGAGAGCTTGATAGTTCCAGGATGGGACACCCTCCATTAACAAATTTGGAATGGGGTCTAGCCCGGTGGTGTAGTAGTTAAGTTCACACACTCCGCTTTGGCAGCCGGGGATTCACAGGTTCAGATCCCAGGAACAGACCTACACACCACTCATCAAACTATGCTGTGGCAGTGTCCTAGTATCCTACATACAAAAAATAGAGGAAGATTGGCACAGATGTTAGCTCAGGGCCAATCTTCCTCACTAAAAAAGGGAAAAGAAAAGAAAAGAAATTTGGAAGTTGTGCTACCACTGTTATTAAGACCACACACCCTTCATCCACTACCTGAGTTCCAACTACCATGTTGCATGGCCTTGGGCACAGAGGCACAGCCTAACATGAAATGGCCAAACACAAGAGTATATGAGAACAAACACACAGGTGAAACAGCCCAGGAGTCCAACTTGGAGGAAGCACTGTGAACGAGACCCAGGAGGGATGGCCAGACCTCTCTAAACTAAGTACACTTTCAGCCCCCACTACTGGCATACCTGCTGTCTAACAATGCATGGGGCAGAAACATTTGTATCTCAGAGGAGCAAGTCAGACTGGGAGGACAAGGGGCAGCCACCCCAAGAGTCAAACTCAGGGCTGGCAGGTTCCTGGTCCTTGTGCCTGTTTGCATCTGGGCAGCTCCAGCCATCTTGGCCCACACATCTGTGTTTTCAGCTTAGCTCTGTTCCTCCTCTCTCCTCAGGCCTCACCTGTGCTTCTCACCCTCATCTGTACATTGGAATCCCCTGGGGAGCTTTAAAAACTGATGCCTTGGGTCTCAACTCCAGGTTGTTCTGGGACCTGGACATTTGGGGGGGGAGGTGGGGGGCGTTTAAAACTCCCGCAGGTGATTCCAATGAGCGGCCATGGGTGAGAGCCACTGTTTTAGGCCATCTTTTTTCAAAGTACGATTCCATGGGGCACTATGCACCCAGGAGCTTATTAAAAATGCAGATTTCTGGGTCCCGCTGGATCAGCATCTCTGGGTGTGGAACTTGGGAATTAGCATGTGTAACAGGGTTTCCATGTGATCCCTGGGCATGCTCAAGTTTAATAATAAATCCTGCTCAGAGGATCCTTCCTCACCCCAGAGATGCCGGGGCTGTGAATAGCTGTCATTGATTGTGTTCTGTTTGGTTTGCCAAGGGCAACAGGAAATCTCGCACCAGCCCCCAAACAGGCTAACGCTCAAGTAGGGCTGAAAGGCCTCTTGCGGGGTGGAAAGCAGTCCTATAAGTCACAGCTTTGCCTGCCCACTGCCCTGGCTTGCCTTGGGCCTTCAAAGTTCCCGCGCCCAAAGCAAGCCTGGAGCCCAGAAAGCAGTCCACAGGCAAGCCAGGCACGAGGAGCAAAGGAAGACGTTAAATGGAAGAAGTGGCCCCTGCGGGTGCCCACCTAACAAGGCGGATGAGAGCTTGTGGAAGAGGAAATGGGAGAGAGGGCAGGACTGAGAGATGTGGAAGATGAGGGATGAGGTATGCTTGGATATTGCTCTAGATGTTGTAAACATTTCTCTTTGATTCATCACAGACCAAAATCTGGTTGGCATGACCAAAGTGCCTGAAGGTAGGCACCAGAGTGGGGAACTCGGTGCCTTTTGTGGGAAGCAGGACACAACGGATGTGAGGAAAGCTCCACCCCGGGGAAGATTATCTCTGTGGTGTGCTAGTCTAATGCTCACAACTCTCACACACACATATACGCACACACAGACACTTCACAGGAGTACCATAAATATAGCTATCACATTCCTCTACACACGGACATTCGCCCACATACCCTCACTTAACGGCAAAATTCAGGATACCCAGGCTTGGTCCTTCACACCTCCCCATCGTGGGAGGAAGTCACCAGGCACCATGACACCACCATCTGCAGCCTTCAGTCCACCAATGGTTGGCAAGAACTCTAGGCCCCAAATGAGGCCACTGCACAACACTCTTGTTCAGACTTTTCTCCTGGGGACAGTGGAAGTGGTAAAAAGGCCCCTCTTAGAACATTTCATATTTCCATCACTCTGTGCTGTTCCAATTTATATGCACCTCATATTCGACAGTAGAGTTGGCAGCAGATGCACATTTCGTGTGTAAACAATGTTTAAAATACCCTGTTCGAGAATTTGATCATTAAATTAATTCTGGCAGCTTTAGCTAAGGATGGTTTTTTACCAGTCGGGGCAGGGGACTACTACCCAATCTAACTAGGAACACCCATCTGAGGCTTCAGAGTTCTTGAACATGAAATTGCACTGGTCTCTTCAGTGTGAGGGCTAAGGAGGCCCGTGATCTCTCTCTCCTTGACGGTTCATACACACACACGGACCCTCAGTCATAGATACAGTGTGCCATGGCAGGAAAGTGGACCCCAACACTAGTGGGACTCAAGAGCCTTCTTGGCCTTGTCTAGCTGTAACCAAGGAAAGAAGAGATTCACGCAGTTACTGGACGGGAATGCTAATACTGGAACCCCTACATATATAAAAGGCCCATCGCCCCCAGAGGAGAATGCTGCAGCCCACTTCTCAATCACCTGCACTCCAGAGCTTATGCCTAATCATGGGCTGTTCACTTAGTCAAGCTGAAAGTTTTCCAGATCTCCAGTGAATCCAGATCTATCAGCTGAGAATTATCCAACAATACCTCCACCATGTTCTCTGTGATTCAGTCCACCTGGAGGCCAGCCTCTTCCAGGCTCCTCTTCCACTTTCTGGTCTCTCTGCTGAAGAGTCATCTCCTTGGCACTGCAGCCTGTGCCAAAGTCAGCTTTTTCCTGGGCAGCTAGAGTAGGTTCTGTGCATCTCACTCATCTTCCAAAGAGGAGTTTCCTGACGCCTCTCAGAGAGCAGACCCAGGATACCATGAAAGCGTTTTAGGAAGGTTCTCCACAACGAGGTGTTCACAGTGATCTTCTTAGCCCCACTTCTGTTCCATGTTCAATCCCAAAAGGTCAGAGATCAAGAAGGAAGTTGCTGAGTAGCCAAAATGGCCCTCATGAAAGGGACGTTTCTAAGAGAGCATGCTCCCAGGAAGCAAGCTGGAAAGAGAGTTACAACCTAAGTTCCCATTCTCCCCCATCATAATTACATGACCTGCATGGCTGGGGGGAGGGGGAGAGACAGGGAAAGTGTTAGGCACCATGAGAGCTGTCCATGCTATGGGAATTCATCTCCCTTTGCCAAGGTGTTTGCCATTTTAGGAGATCAGGGATGTGTGATGCCACAGGGAGGCGAGGGCAGAGAATGTATTAAGCAACAGAAAGGTTATAAGGTGCCCCTTTGCACAAAAGTCTACTGGTACTACATTCCCTGGTCATTTGACTTCTGGAAAACTTCTTGGTAGAATTGAGGAAGATTTACAAGCTGTATCTTTCTTAACAGCAGCTCCATCAGAAATCATGAAGGACATCTCCCAAGATCCTTTCTGGAACTGCAAGGGTATGGGAGTCTTGTGAATTTCCTAGGCTAAGATGGGCAGTGGTTACAGCTTTTCACACTGGTCCTAGGGAAATGGAAGAAACAGCCAACTCCATGGAGTTTGCCCCCTTGCCCAGAAGCCACCTGTCAATGACAGTGCCAGAAACCTGGGATTCCAGAGACCTCTTTCCTAAATTGTGAGGTCCCAGCACCTGGGACTGGCCATTACATTGTGACAGCAGTCATAAATACAAGCCAGAGTCCTCTAGCTATTCCTCACAGGGGTATAGGACAAGCTAGTCAGGAATCCTAACTGAGGAAGGAGTGGAAGAGGTGGAAATTGCATTTGCATTATTTACAGATTAGCCCAGCATAGCGAATCTGCCTTCTCAGTGGAGATGACCCAAGGCATTATGGAAGGCAAGCTGCTGCCCCAGAGAGGGGTGACAGCCACAAGGTGCTATCACTAACCAAAACACAAACATGGTAAATGGAGTAGAGGCCAAGCTCTGTGGCTAGATCATACTTTGAACTGGCCTTTCATCCCTTCCTCGCCCCCAGCCTCCCAACCTAAACACCACTGTTTTTGAACACCTATGACACTTCATGTTAGAATATGGTCTTGGCAGCAAAGGGGAGGGGAAGGCCGGTGATCTCCAGAAGTCCCCATCTGAGGTCTAACTGAGCCTCCTCTGGTTTTGGGACAGTAAATCTAAGTACATTTTGGACCTCAGGAACCTGGGGTAAGAGTCTTTCTCCATGAGGCTGTGTACTTTTCCCTGGGCTTGGTCAAAGCAAGTCAGAGATGGCTCTTGCATGTTCTTCCTTGTGGCTTCTCGGGTCTGGAAGTCTATGTTTACCTGGAGACACAAACAGAGAGCATGGTCACAGGCACACAAGAGCCAAGATGCCTGGCAGCTGGTCCTAGCTATGTAAGAATTATTAATGACAGCATCTTATATATGTAAGGTATTCATGCTTTTCAAACTGCTTCATGGAGGTCATCCCTTTTCATCCCAGCAAGAATCCCATGAGGCCTGAAGACCAGATATTCTTTATCCCATGATAAAGAATGGGACTATTCTTTATCAGCCGTGATTATATAGATAAGGACACCAAAGAAAAGAGATACTAAAAAGCTGGTCTAAAGTAGTATGGAATGTCAATAACAGAGCCAAGGCAAAACCCCGAATCACTTAACTCCTAACCCAGGGGTCTTCACAATGTCAGGCGAAGAGTTAGAGTGGAGACAAGTATTAATGTGGGTTCCCTAAGGTAAGCTTGTCCTCTTGCCATTTCTTAACTGCTAAGAAAATAAATACCCCAGGGAGAGAGACGATGGTTAGAATGTACATCTTTGTTCCAACCAGCATTATAAGGAGCCTACAGCATCCGGCCACTGGCTAAAGACCTCTTGCATCTCGAGTCAAAGTGCAATTGAAGAGTTGTAGGTATGTAATGCACCTAAACTCATAGACAGCAAATATTTTTCTGCTATAAAACCCTCCAAGTAAAATTCTGTTTTATAACTCAGAACAGCAGTACATAGAAATTCATTTCATTATTATAAATAATTGTAATAAGTTATCTTAAAATAATATAAATGGCTGCAATTACTCATTAATAAGCAGTGACAAATATCAAATAGGTGCTTTGCCCCTAATGCTAGAGTAGTCTTGAAAGATAGGTGATATTATACCCTTTTACACTGGGGAAAATGTGATTCAGAGAGGCTAGGTAACTTGACTAAGATCATGCAACTAGTAAGCGGTGGAGCTGAGATTGGAACAAGATTCCAAACTGGGTGCTCATTCCACTAAGCTGTGGTGCCTTCCACTAGGAAAACTAACTTGGATTCAATGGCATCTATCCTTGCAGAATCCCTGTAAAAACATAGTTCCTGCTGGCACATTTCACTGACAGACAGCTAAAACACCCCTAATAGAGCTCCTTTTATAGAAGCCCTGGGCTCTGCACCTTAAAAATGATCCCTTTTTCATCAAGAGCCATCAGCGTAGTGAGGCTCAGTTCAGAAGAAAGTCCCCACCAAGCGTGACTTGAACCCCCATGAGAAGAGAGATGTGAGCCAGGAGCCACAGATAGAGGTCTGACAAAACGCTCGCCACCACCAACACACCTCCCTCGGAGCCTGCACGTCCACAAACTCCTCGAAGATCCTATGGGCCTTGGAGACCAGTTTTGCTGTTGACCTGGTCTTCTTGAACTCCTCGCAGGCCAACCAGAACTCCAGGTTCTCCTCGCTGAACTCTGTCTTCAAGAAGGCGCGAAATGCAGCCACCCCATCTGTGGATGTGGAGGGAGGTGGAGAGGAAGAAAGATAGGAAGAGGCTTAAGCTCAAGAACTAGAGAAGAAAGAAAGGTGGCCCTGATGGTCGAACCTTCACTGCTCCTCCCCATCCTCGTGAAGATTCTGTCCTCCTAAACGCACAGGTACCCTCAGAGTCAAGCCATGCTCCTTGTTCAAGGATCATTGTGATAGGAGGGAGAAAAGTTTAGGAAGCCACAGTAATAATGACTATGGGAAGGCCTGGTCACTGTTAATCAGCCCTCAGTTGTCACTGCCTGTCCGCTAATGCAGAGTTGGCTGCCCCCTGAATCTACTGGTGAGCCTTTGTTTCTAGTTAGGCCAAAGCAATACATGTAATCCATTCCCTACCCTAATCCAAGTCAACCACCCTGGAAAAACAATCTGTTACACAACAAACTAGTAGGGGTGTGAATGCCTCCAGGCAAATCCTTCACTACTACCAGAAAAATGTCTGAAAGGAAACACGCTAGTGAAATTCAGTCAGTGACGCCGTTCTCTACATGGATGGGACTCCCAGCCTCTTTTGAAAAACCTTTGAAACCCCCTATTTTAATGGTTTATTCCATGGATCCTTTATTTTAAAAGAGTTTGCCTATCGAATTATATGTTTTAATTAAGATTAATTATAATTTTTCTACCAAATGATTTAACGATGCACATACCCTTTAATTTTTATTAATCAATGTCATGCACATTGCCAAACAGAGCTTCCAGTGGGAATAAGATAAGCAGGGTTACCACACAGATTTGGAAAGGAAAACAACATTCCTTGATAGCCTATGCATTCGGTTAATGTTTTTATTTGAAAATATTTTTTATAAATTATCTTAACCCTTAACGCACTCTCCTCTAATCAAATAAGAGCTGTAGCTTTCTAAAGACTGTCCTCAGAGGAAGGGCAGATGAAGTCTAGAATAAAGAAGTGACTGCATTGGTTAAAAATGACTCTGGCTATAATGTTTTATTTCTTTTCTAGAATTCATTAGAAGGGCAATGTGTTAACAGTTCTTAATTCTGGGTCATGGGATCACCTGAGCTTCTGAGGTCCACCAATATGCAGCAGGACAGGCCCTGTCCAGGATCGTTCCATGGATTGGTGGCCATGCTGTTGACATATTTAAATGTTTATTTTTACTTTCCTGAAATATTTTTATTTCTCCTAATTACAAAGTCATTGTGGAAATCTTTGTTTCTGAAAGTAGGCGTTTTAATCCCTACCCTACACCAATAGTCATAAAAGCCAAGACTTGTCATTGCAAGAGCCAGGAACTTGAGAGAGAAAAGAATTTTGATGGAACTCCCAAAGCTAAACTTGAAATCATGAAGAAATCTAAGTTTGGAGGCCTGAGCTTAAAGTATTTAACAAAAACAGGGGTGGCTATGAAATTTATCACCCAAGGCAGGACATTTTTGAGAGTGAAGGGGGCATTTCTGTTCTCTACATGGGGACGATGGGCATAAACTATGACCACCACAGGCAAAAAGCAGGACATATGGTCACCAATTCTAAGACAAGGAGTATGGAGAAAGCAGAATATAACATAAGGTTGTTTTCCATCAGCAGGATGGAAATAAAATTGTGCCTGTGCCAGGCAAGGAAGGAGGTGGAGTTTAGTTTAGACTCATATGAGAGGTCTGCTCAGGGCCCCACTCACCCTTATTCCTACATTGGGTTCAAAACCCCAAAAGGAGGGAGTAGAAACTCAAGATAAATTGAGAATCAAAGTGAGCACAAAACAGTGACATGGCACTGATCAGGCAAAGAGATGGCCTGAGAACCATTCATTCAATTCAACAATTTTTTTGAAGAATAAGATTAGCCCTGAGCTCACATCTGCCACCAATCCTCCTCTTTTTGCTGAGGAAGACTGGCCCTGAGCCAACATCCATGCCCATCTTCCTCTATATGTGAGACGCCTGCCACAGCATGGCTTGATAAGCAGTGTGTAGGTCCTCACCCGGGATCTGAACCAGCAAACCCTGGGCCGCTGAAGCAGAACGTGTGAACTCAACCACTGCGCCACCAGGCCAGCCCCCCAACAATTTTTTTAAACTACTAACATACAAAGTACTGTTCCAAGTCTTGGGACACATCCGAGAACAGATCATAAAATCCCTTGTGAATGCTCTTTTTGCCACACTTTGTCTCCTCCCAGTTCTCACAGAGGAGATCCAGAAGTTTCCACAGGCTCCAAGGCAACTCAGATTTGAGAGCTAGCATGCACCACTGCAGCAGAGGTTGCAGGCGGAGGCCGCATGGAAAACCATCTGGAGCTGTGGAAGCCTCTGAGGAGACTCAGTGCCTGTGAGAGCCAAGGGGAGCTGGTTCAGATAGGTGGCCTCTGAGCAATGATGGGTCCACATGTGACAAGAGCCATGGACACTCTCAGGGGACACAGGAAAAACCTGAGGACCACAGGCCAGAAGCCCTCCCCTGCTGCCTTTCCACTGTAGTCAGCGTGTGGGAAGAAAAGGGTCAGGGGAGGCCACTAAAACACTGCGCATTTATCTAAAAGAACAAATGCAAACTGACTAGAAGAGCCAGTTGTTTTTAAACCAGAAGAGACTAGATTCCTTGAATGGGAAAGGTTAAGTTCATTGTTTGGTTTACATTTTGTTTTCCTTTTCATCAAGCAAAACCAAGTGCTTGTGAGCTGGCTGAATCTTGTTACAGATAGAGAAAATTACCTTCCTGCCTTCCTCGATGGTACTGGTGGAGGTAACCCTGCTCAGGAGACGTGCTGACAAGGTACAGACATTATCTCATTTCATCTCAGTCTCAGCTTTGTTGGGGCTTTGTGTGGAATAAAAGAAAGAACGCCTGCAAAGTGCTTTACTTACCCCCATTTTATGGATGAGGAAACTGATGCTTAGAGAAGTGGCTTGATTGAGTCACACAAGTAAGAATACGTAGCATTAAAAAAATACAAGGTATGCTAACTCCCAACCAACACAGCAATAATGCCATCTCCATTCATTCATTCATTCATTCACCCATCATGTAACCCAGGCATTTTGCTAGGTGTGTGGGCACAAAAAACAGGCACAGTTAAGCTGTCACAGAACTTGCAGTGAAAGAGTGTTTTGAGCCAAGAAAACATAATTATGGTAATTGCGGTATATATGATACATGATAAGATAGGGAAAGCATAGGTTGCTGTGGAAGTACCCAGAGGGATGCCTGAGCCAGACCTGAGGAGGAAAGGGATGACCTGCAAGAGGAAGTAGATTCTAAGCCAAGATGTGAAGTTGAGGAGAAGGCAGCTAAGTGAGAGGAGAAAGGGGAACGGAGAAGAGAATCGCAGGACAGGGGAAGCGCATGAGCAGAATTAAAGTTTATTTGAGTAACTAGAAATAGCTTAGTAGACCAGTGTTTAATAATCACCACATAATGCTAAAAATCATTGAGACTACTTATAGGATAGGCATACACCAAGAGGCCTGTGAAAGAGCCAGGGAGATGGAAGGATAGCACAGTGCTCCAAAAGACCAGGGAAGCGAACATTTCAGGGAGGAGGAGGTGGTCACTGTGTCCAGTGCTACCCACAGGTCAAGCTAGATACGGTCTGAGAAGTGGTCATTAGATTCAGTGACAGGATTCAGCAACCATTGGCAAGAACAGTTTTAGTGATGTGATGGGTGCCCGAGCCACAAGTGGTAAATAGAGCGGTGAACGAGAGGGGAGGAAGTAGAAACAGTTAATTCAGACGTCTCCTGCAAGAAAGGGAGTAGGGAAATCAGACAGCATAGCTGGAAGGAAACAGGAGGTCAGGAAAGAGATGGTGTGTGTGTGTGTGTGTGTGTGTGTGTGTGTGTGTGATGGGTTTTTTGTAAGAAAGCCTTGGGTATATTTAAATACTGATCTGGTCAGAAAAGACTTGTGGAGCAGGAGGAGTTGAAGTTAAAGGAAAGAAGGAGTTTAATTGATAAAATGTTGCCTCTAGGAAAGTAGAAGTAATAAGCTTGAGAACAGCATCATGATGGAGAGGAAGGGGAGAGGTTGCGTGTGGATGCAGGGAAGTTTCTAGCTTGGGTACAGGAAACTGATAGAGTTCCTATCTGGTATTAGCTGGAGAAGGTAGTAGAACCTAGGGTTTTATTTTTATTTGTTTATTTAGGATTTGGGGAAGGGAGTTTTATTTATTCACTATATACCATGCTTTTTGCTGGAGATTTTACAAACACTAGCCTAAATTTTTTTCACAACAACACTGATCCATAGACAGCATCACTCTCATTTTCCACAGGAAGAAACTAAAACTTACAGAAGTGGACTAAATTTCCCAGCTCCACAGCTGGCAAGAAGAGCCAAGTTTCCCTACCAGGTCCATATGACTCCACAGCAGGATCTTTCCAGGTGTGTTTGCAGGCAGAAGGGAAAGGCAAGAAAGAGATTAAATGGGCGAAAGAATAGTTTCTGGTAAAGGGAAATTCTGCAGAAGGAGAAGGATCAAGAAGAAATTGAAGAACTTGACTTCCTTAAAGTCAAAAGTAGGGAAAGAGAGGGAGATGGATGAAGATAGAGAGAAATGGTCGGGGAAGCGACATATTTGAGATGCATCAAGTTGAACAGCCTGGGTCTTCTTTATTAATTTGGGGTGAAGTCCCTACGCAGGGGGTCTGTCTCCATGTGCTAGGTTTGGGGGAAATGGTACGAACAAGTCCGATAGTCGCCACCTCATAGAGCTCGTAAACTAGTGCAGTGTAACAGACATGAAGCAATATTAAAAATAATTAATTGAATAATTGCCAGTGCAGCGTGGACACCTAAGAGAATGGAAACGGTTTGGAGCAGCTACTTTGAAAAAATGAATAGGAACCTGGTAGAAAACAGGCAAACAATTGTGAAGACCTAGATTTCAGTTCCCGGAGAGGGTTACGATGCTCCACGAAGGAAGCAAGAACTTTTCGTTTGGGGTATGTCCATCATTTAAAGAGAGAACTATCCAGGCTGGCAAATGAACCTTGACCCTGG